CAGTCGCCCTGATAAACATGGTCCCAGTGAAGAAATTTCTTAGCGATAAAGTGTCAGCCATTTTCAGTCAGCTTTGCAGTTTTGCATTTATTTCAACTCCAATGCTGCGTAGGCCTACTTTCCCAGCCCTGTCTCAGAGCAGAATGACCTCGTTTTCATTCGGGCTCTCAGGGCCGAACTTGGCAAGGAGGCGATCTGCCTCAAGTCCAGATATCCGAGCGGTTGGCTTTGCTTGCAGTCAGGCAGAATTGGCTTTGACTGCATGGGACGGCTCAAGCTGACAGAGAAAATACTTGTGACAGCGTCCATTGGCAGAGCTACACATGCCTGCCATGCAGTCTCTGATATGACGTGCTTGAGAATAGCAGGCAATTTCGCTGGACGGCCTTCGAGAGAAGCTGCTGAAGGATCATCTTGAAGCTTGTCTTTGTGGCACTGGAGTGTATGTTTTTCTGTTATCCGCATCCACTCTCGTGGAACACGAGAGACAGAGACGAGACATCCCGCGAGAGAGAGAGAGAGAGAGAGACATAGGAGAGGCATGCTACTCTGTTCTCCTCAGGAGCTCAGCACCGGCCAGCAACTCAGATCTTAGAGACGCTGAGAAGTGCGAAGTGGGCGAGCGGAAACCAAGGCGGCATGGTAGAGGCCTGAGCTGGATGGACGGCTGTTGCAGTACACAGCCATGCCCTTACAGTTTAGGGCCTTTGGTGACCAAGGCAACCTCAGAGCTGCAAAAGCAGCAGGCGTAACCATTCTTGAAGGCTGAGCACAAGAGTTCACGAGCAGCATTTGCTTTTGCAGGCCGAGCTCAAGCATTCGCTGCAGAAGATAGAGGACCCTCAGTTGGAGCTTTTGCAAGCCCTGCAAACGTTTGAGGCAGGCGGGCAGCAATGCAGGCATTTTTACACAGGCAAACAAAATCCATGCATAGTGTGTTGTGTGTGTGTGTGTGTGTGTGTGTGTGTCTCTCTCTCTCTCTGTGTGTGTGTGTGGGTGCGTGCGTGCGTGCGTGCGTGCGCGCGTGCGTGCGTGCGTGCGTGCGTGGGTGCGTGGGTGGGTGGGTGGGTGGGTGCGTGGGTGGGTGGGTGCGTGGGTGCGTGGGTGCGTGGGTGCGTGGGTGCGTGGGTGCGTGGGTGCGTGGGTGCGTGGGTGCGTGGGTGCGTGGGTGCGTGGGTGCGTGGGTGCGTGGGTGCGTGGGTGCGTGGGTGCGTGGGTGCGTGGGTGCGTGGGTGCGTGGGTGCGTGGGTGCGTGGGTGTGTGTGTGTGTGTGTGTGTGTGTGTGTGTGTGTGTGTGTGTGTGTGTGTGTGTGTGTGTGTGTGTGTGTGTGTGTGTGTGTGTGTGTGTGTGTGTGTGTGTGTGTGCGTGCGTGTGTGTGTGTGTGTGCGCGTGTGCGTGTGCGTGTGTGTGGGTGTGTGCGCCTCTCTGTACCTCTCTCTCCGTCTGACTGTCTCTCGCTCTTTCTCTCTCTCTCTCTCTTCATGTGTTTTGGTGTGTGTGAGCTTGTGGCTCTTTCTCTTTCACTCTCACACTCTCTCTCCCTCTCACTCTATGACCCTTTTTTTTCTTTCTTTTTTTCTTTCTTTTTCTCTCTCTCTCTCTCTCGCTCTCTTTCTCTGCCACTATCGCCATGTCTATCTCTTTTTCTGTCCGTTTGTTTGCCTGCCTGCCTGCCTGCCTTTCTGTTTGCCTGCCTTCTGTTTGCCTGCCTGCCTGTCTGTCTGTTTGGCTGGCTCTGTCTACTTGAGATCGTGCAAGCGCGGATGCCAGGAGAAATTGAAGTTTCAGACAAATGTTGCCAGCCACGAAGATTAGTCCTTCGTGGCTCTCAGACCAGAACGGAGTTCAAAACAATATGCAACGCACGTCAAGTGTTTGTATCAGCAATGTGTTGCTTACTGCCTTTGGGTTTGGCGTGTTGGTTAACTTACATGGAGACACTGGGTGATTCGAAAGCCCATCTTGCGTACATGATGCCGCCATCTTGCGCTGAACAGCTAGAACGTAGATAGAACATATTTTTGGACGTGCCGTGAACATATTGAGCCTGAAGGTGATCCCGCTGCGAGATCCTTCTCAAGATGCTGCGAAGAAAGACACTGAGCAGCACTAAGAAATTGCTTTAAAGCATTGACATCTAAGCCTGAATTTTAGGAAACGTGCCAGATTTGCTTGCCACTCGTTGGGCGGCCACAGGGCGTGTTCCTCTTCCACGAGCGCGCTGGAAGTGGACCGGCCCAGCGCTGTGTGATCGTTCAGTTAGAAAAGACAAAGAGGGCCCCGAAAGCCGCCAAGACTTGGGCTTCGAGTTGCAACGCCTAGCTTCCAGCTCATAGTCGGTGATGTCGGTGTGTACTGCGCTGAGTTGTTTGGCTGCTTAGGTCAATGAGCGGGTGCGCCTTGCCTGCCGTGCTGCGTTAAAGCTGAAGTAGTGCAAGACGCTGTGAGGCCATGAAGCTTTGCATGGCTGCCAGCTTCCCGCCCAAGGCCCCTTGTTTT